ATGAACTATTGCTGTGTTCTTATTTGGTATAACTTGTGATGTCATTCTGCTTATGGTTCGAGGTCATGGCTATTTGGTCACTCTGGTATGATGCTGTTGAGTTCGGGAATTCGCTATTGCTCATCTTCCTTGCATAAAAAAGGAAAAAGAGAAAAAGAATATTGTTCGTCCAAATCGAATGGTAGATGCAGGGCTTACTGATTTTGACGGCAACACAACCATTTAATTATAGCGACCCAATCTTCAAACAAAGAAAAAGAAAACAAAAAGAAAAGAGCTTATTATTAAGCCTTATATGCAGACTCACATACTAACTTCACTGCCCTGCACCTCTGTCACAAACCGACAATGGGATAGAAGACAAGTGCTTATGCAGACTCAAACACCACCTTCACCACACCCGCAACTCTAACAGCAATTGAAGATGTGCCGAGGAGAACGTATACCATCCTGGGTATCAAACGATAAATTTTCCGCCTCCACACTCATCCCCCATCCCCCATCCTCCACCCCCAACCCCCATCCCCCACACAAACACGTTATCTGAGTCCCCAACCAAGCAAGACAGCTCCTCTGCAAGCTTACCTTTGCAACCTGCCAGAGCGCCTCATCACATTTCTTGGGAATGGCAGTGTCATCCATACCGCCTCTGATACCTGGAGCATCTTCGCTCCCACCTGGTATTTCTCAGGTGGTTCTGACCCTTTCCCTCCCCGCCTATATAGCAGCGATTGCATTTTGGCCACTCTCACGTCTGGTCCTAACCATCGCAGCTCCGGTCCTTTCTTCAGCCACCAGTACCCTTGCGGTGTAAGTGATCCGTACAGCCATATTGACTGGCACTCAGTTTATTAACGTTATTTTGTTTCGCTTTCCAGCCTTGGCTAGCCAAGCAAGTAGCATATTAGCAATCAATCAAGAATCTCACATGTTGACAAGTGCTTGGCTTGGCAATCAATACTGTGTATTCTGAACTATTTTCGACCGCTCGTCTATTGAGTGCACAATAGCACACCTAAGACATCAAAATGAGCACCCCCAGCAAACTCCAAACCACCTCTCTCAGACAAGCTAGGATATGTTAAATCATAACAGTGTTATGCCTATACATGCCTGCTGCTATGTCATATGCATTGCCCCTGAGGGTTGTGATGTTCCTGCACTCTGGGACATGGAGGCTGCACGATGATGAACACCTAATTTTTGTATTCCCCGGATTTCTTCCATGACACCATTCATGTCGGGTCTGTGCGCTAGAAGATCACTTGTGCACTTGTGGCCGAGCATTGCCAGCTTGTACACCATATCCCATTCCTCATTCCTCAAGGAACCCATCAGCTTTGCATCAACCATGCCAGAAAATTGCTGATATGTCAGATTGGGATAGGTTAGCCACTGCCGACACCATGCCACGAGTTTGATCACCTCATTCTGCTCTCCTCTCCACTGTGCCTTCTGACCTGTAACCAGCTCCAGCAATACCGCCCCAAACGCATAGACATCGTTCTTTGGAGTTAGCTGCATGCCATGTTGGTATTCTGGGGCCATATACCCAGGTGTACCGCATACCACCAGCGTGAGCACGGTCTGGCCGCCTAGTGTTGTTTCGAGGGTCTTCCCATCGTCCGTCGTTGAAGGTCCAGGTCTTGCAAGCCCAAAGTCAATCAAGTACGCATGCAGGGCTTCCCCCTTGCCCTTCACCAGCAGGTTGTGGCTCTTGATATCCCGATGCAGTATTGGCTCCTCCAGGCCATGATGCAGGTAATGTAAGCCCGTGGCCACTTGCTCTGCCACAGACATTCGCTCTCTGCAGGTTAGAGGCTCCCCGGTACCATGCAGACGATCATGCAGGCTGCCGCCCACGATAAATGGGTACACAAGAATGCACAAGTTCTGATCAACAAAGTACCCAGCAAGTCTGCAAAGGTTTTTGTGCCGCACCTTGCTCAACATCTGAACCTCAGCCAAGAATTGCTTGTACTTGTGGTGGTCCATTTCCCCCTTCATAACTTTGATGGCCATATCCTGGCGCTCACCGTCAATCGTCAAGAAAGCCCTGTAAAGTTTTCCGAAAGCACCCCCCTGTTGCACACAATACTTGTCATTGAGATCTTCGGTTGCAGCCTGGATTTCCTGAAATGAAAACTCACGGATACCCTCTGCGGGCACTGAGAACAGTTGCCCACCGAGATAAGAAGGGAATGATACGGTGGGCCCGGTTATACTTGCCCCAGTACCCCCTCCTCCGGCAAGAGGCTGCATCAGATTCTGTTCCGAATTCCTCTTCAATAGGAAAATTGCTGCAATAATGCCGACTACCACCACAACTGCAACAGAACAACTAACAGCAACAGCAACAACGGTGGAACTTTTAGTAGTAGTTGACTTTCGAGGACTTGGAGGCACAGGTGATGGTGTCGTGGAACTACAGTTGTGAAGGTGTGAACTGTTCAGTGTGAACCAATAAATGCCTCCACTTCCAGTCCCAGCTACCAAAAACTTGTCATCATGAGTCAAAGTTATGCACAACCATTCCATGTTTGACGACTTGGAAGTAGCCTTCACTTGACCTGTCACAATTGTTTTCACCTTGATTGCGGTCCCATTAGGTTCATTAAGTGTTATCCAGCGTATAGCACCACTACCTTCAGCAACAAAGACATTGCAGCCGTTAGATGTCACAGCCACATCCTCGGGCAGTCCCAATTGGGCAGATGAAGCATCGCCATCTATGGAGAGGCCTTCTGAAGACCGAGTGCCAGCTACAGTGACTGTGGCTCCTGTTTGAGTATCCACACGACGTAGCACATTGTTTCCAGAATCCGCAACATACAGGCTGTCCCCATTCCCAGAAATTGAGCGCGGTCCATGCATCGGTCCATTGAACCGGACGTCTGCACCATTGCTGCTATCAAGATAGTCTTGAACAGAGCCAGTCAGACCACTGAAACCAGCAAGAGTTGTGATTGCAATTCCGCTAGAGTTGGATGGAGAGGACAGCGGGACGGTCATGATGCGATCAACAGATGAAACAAATATCTGGGGAAGTGTTGGGTGCTTTGTTAAATATCTGGGCATTTTCAGCCGAGTGAAATTCCCTGCATTCCTGACACTGAGGCTGATTTTGCGAATCAGCTCATTGTCACTGTCCACAACGAGCAATGTTGAGGTGTCCACCAGCGACAAGCCCATCAAGAGGGAGGAATTTGTTGAGAATGGTTCCTGATCAAGCGGCCATGGGCCAGCCACAGTTTGAATTGTTGTTCCTGATGTCGATCCTGGTGACGACATTCCGACTTGCCTTACCGCAGATCGCAAGGTAGGTACGGAAAGTGTGCCATTTAATATAGCTTCCACGTAGTAGACTGTGTTCTCGTCTTGCGAAACAACTACCTGAAAGATGAATGGCGCAAAATATTCTGTGAGCTTGTCTTCTCTAGAGGCAAGGAGATCACCACCATATTGAAGAAGTGTTCCATCTACAACCTCCACAACAGGGGTCATGCTGGATGACACCTGAAGTTTCCGTCTTTGCATCACGGCGATTCTCCTTTTGAGAGTATCTGGTAGGTCATAGCTACCCCCTGATGACCGAGAGGCAGGTATGTGGCAATGAACATAGAGAAAAATGATGCACACCACACCAACAAGTGCCCCGAAAAAATGAACCGTGTTAGCCATAATTGCTCTGTGTCTCTGTCTGTGTGTGCCTGTCTGTCTGTCCGTCTGTCTGTCTATCTGTCTCTCTCTGTCTCTGTCTCTGTCTCTCTCTCTCTCTCTCTCTCTCTCTCTCTCTCTCTCTCTCTCTCTCTCTCTCTCTCTCTCT